CCCCCCTCCCAGTCTCCCTTTTCCGAATAGCTTAGATGCTGGGATTTTACTAGGGGCTCCATGGCTAAGTGCGATCATTCTCATGTAGGACTGCATCTCGCTAGCGGGCAAGTGAAACTTTTGTCGTGGAAACTACTAATTAGGGAACCAGAAAGGTTAGAAAGTCAAAATTTTACGGAAGTGGCTTTTGCCCGGCCCGATTCAAGGATTTCAAATCCTGCTTCTAAGTGTCTTAATTTTACGTAAGAGCATATGAAAGTCTTTACGCGAAAATCGATAAGTCAGAGGGTCAGAAAAGCTGGAATGCTGAAATTTTAGGATAGTGTTCCCCGTCCACGCAAGACCTAAACATTTCAAATTAAGCTCCTAAGAAAACATACGCGCCGTGAAAGTCTTGATGTGAAACCCTTATTAATTTACTAAATTTTTTATAATGATTATTTGGCAATGGTCAATGTTGGTTTTTTTCAGATGCGTAATAAATGCCGTGATGTTGCTACAAAAGTAGCAACAGATGTTCTGGGTAATAAGGAGGCAGTCAGCGAAATGTTCAAGACTACCCTGTCGAAGACAACCGTTTTTCCGTGCTACAAGGAAGTATTTAACACATTTGAGAAATGCAACAATGATACGGTAAACTGTTTAATGTGACTTGGTGACTAATGGTGTGATTGAAAACTAACACATTGTAACAAAATACCTCGGAATTCACTTGAAATCTTTATCGATAGGCAACTGCTGTTGGTATTTGCAGCCATTCGAGCTATATCTCGTTCCCCTTCCATTTCTAATAGGAGTAGGCACGGAGATGATCCTGACTTTGACTTCACGGTATATCAAGTTTTCGAGAATTGCAGTATATTCAAGTTCATCTGTTTCTTCGAAAAACTTGTTCGAATTGCGTGCTTCACGGAAAAAAGATGGTTTCAGAGAAGCTACGGTTTGGAGGTTTCACAAGTATTCTTTAATTTATGCCGCGATCACAAAAAGGAGGATATTATGAACTCGGTGACGAAACACTGCACCCCTGATTGGTGATTGAAGAATCTTGTCGAGGAGCGCTTTTCCAAAAATTCTCTATCTTTCCTCATAAAAATGAGGATTTTTCTGGACGTTCATTTTTTTTCAGTTATCAAATAAATATTCATAATTATTCTGCTCTAACAGGCTTGGCAACACCTGTCCTCTACGACGTGTGTCCAGATTAGGTGATGATGCCATACATCAGGTATGGGCAACCTTTTGCGACACGCAACCTGATTTACATACTCAAGCTGGCGGTTCACCTTTTAATACCCAGCCTGGAACGCACCAGAAGAGTTGGTGCGATCATGCGTTTTTGCAACTAGCTTGAAGTAATTAGATTAACTGCGTGAATAGTTGTTGCGCAAATCATCGTAATTTTTGCGTAGACGAAAATAAACAATTTTCGTTTAGCAGCCGTTTTTATGCGTTTTTGCCTATATGCAAATTGCAAAAACGCATATTGGGACGACCCTGTCT